GGAACGAGAACACGTTGGACCTCCTATTCATGAACAATGATGAGCTAATCAGAGACATTAGTCTCAGACACTACGTACTTGGGCCAAAAGCTCATTGAAGTGCAAACTAACATTAATAACGGTAGTAGGCAACAAGAGAAACAACAAGCGAGAAGGGGTATTCAATAAATTCAGTTTTAATTATAAAAGGATAGTCTGGGAGAAAATAAACAGGGAACTTACAAACATTCAATGGGAAAATGTAAAGTAAAATCCAAGGAATAGAAAAACTGACTTCTGAAACCTTTGATGTCTGTCTGAAACATGTTCCTTTGAGGAAAGGCAGAAAGAGGTCCAACGTAGAAAGAGAACGCAGATGACACAAAAATCAGCATGGAAATTACCTCTGCTGAAGACATTGAAAAACTACAAGCAGATATTAATAAAGTTTTCGACTGGGCAGCAGAAAATAACATGATGTTTAACAGCGATAAATTCCAGGTAATCAGATACGGTAAAAATGAGAACCTTAGGGGCTTGGGGAATAGAAGAACTCCCAGAACCCCATCAAGCAGGTATCAAGCAGGCTTGAGGATACTGTACCTTTCGATGCTACACTGCAAACTCTGACTTCCTGCCACCACCTGCTACATCTACCCACTGAGTAATTCCCCCAATTGACGGTGAAGCAGGATACCGTCAATTAGGCATAACCCCTGAAAATGGATCCCCAGTTATCCCCAGTTACTTATTTACGTTAAGTGTGGAATTAAATTAAAGTACAAAAAGGATTATCTGAGGTATTAAATAACTGCTTGCAGGCTTGCAGAGGGTGTTAGTCCCAAGCATGGGGGCTGGAGCCCATCAACAGAATGTAAAATAATCGCTGGGGGGAAATTCTACTAAACACCATAAAATTCTAAACAAAATTTATTACTCAAAGATGAAATAAATGAAAAATTACTCAAATGAAAATAAAAAGAAACGCGCCCTAACTGAACCCTTCCTAAACTGAATATATTCCTGTCTGAGGCAAATGATTTGATGGACCTAAAATCAACTGTACTAAATCAGACACAGATACCTTAAAATACCACAGCCAGACCTACATGTTCTGCCTCGGCTCCAGGGAGCAGTCCGTCTCCAGTTGCTACCCAGTCCACATTAACTTATTTTTCCACTGACCTCGGTAAGTCTGACCTTAGCTCAGTTGCCAAATTAATCTTTGAAGAAGATTACTAACTAAAATCTTGTACTCGTCACTGAAGGTGACTTATTGTTCGAAACCAAATCTGAATTATTTAGATACTTGAGCCAGGCTAATCACAATATTCAATAGCACTTTCATTTCACTAATTTACCTGAATTAACAAGCAAGCTGGTAGGTGAACAAATCCACAAGGCCCGTGACGAGGATTCGAAACCTGCGTCCGGGAGCATCCCAGACACTGCCTTAATCGACTGAGCTACGACATGGTTGAAAGAATTGTGATTTGCGTGTGTAAAGCTGGTAGGTACATATTTTCCAAGTAATGAGATACCCTATTCTTACTGAAGTCACATGCTTCTTTGATAACATGCTATGCTTATTCTTTGTTCTCAATTGTGGCTTGTTGAGCGTGAAACTGTAACGTACGGTTATGTTACGTTGTTGGGTAAATTAGATACACAATGTTTAGTGAGTTTCATATTTATTTACGTTGAGACGGAGCTTGGAGCAGAGCAGAGAGCTGAGTGTGGCCGGAGTCGCGGAGCTCTATGTGGGAGAGCGTTGTAGCTGGATGCGGTCCTAGTCTGCTGCCTGTTCTGTGTCGAAGCTGTAGCGTCTTGGAAACGATTAGAACTGCCTACGCCGATTGCTACATTCTTGACTGGAAATTGTACTGTTTGCTATTCTCAAATCGCTTGCTTATATACGGTGACTACACCTCACAATAAGATAGGAGGGTTGAAAACCCGTTATCTGTAAATAGGGAAAGGATTATAGCTTTTGTAGTTAGTGCTAATTAGTTATGCCATTAAGATGATGAGATAATGGAGCTCATGTTGTGCAACTTTTAATAAGTGATGGATTTTGACTCCAAAGTACTATTCTTCATCAATCTTCTGTAATGTGATGCTATTAATTTGGTATTCGTGGCATGGATTGTTATGCCCCACATGCATAGTCTAGCATTTGTCAATATTAAAAAGCATTTGCCAGCCTTCTGACCATTTGTGGAGTTCATGTAGATCTCTTTGTAAGGCTTCAATATCATAATCATTTCCCACCTTACCATAATTCTGTCTTCTGCAAATAAATTTGATGATGTGGTTTGTAATATTCTCATCTATGTCATTGATGTAAATGACAAAAAAGGTAGGTTCAAAAATGGGCCCTTGTTGCACCCCCACTTACCACATTTCTCCATTCAGATTCGTATCCATTTAGCATAACCCCTTGTTTTCTTTCCTTCAAGCATTGTTTTGTCCAGTCTAATATTTTACGATTTATTCCATAAGCCTTGTAATTTCCTTGCCAGTCTTTCATGTGGTACCTAATCAAAAGCTTAGTAAAATCCATGTACAGTATACTACATCCACCGGAAGGCTTTTAGTTGAGTAGCTGATTACCATTTCAAAAAATGTGAGCAAGTTTGTAAGGCAAGATCTGTTTCTAACACATCCATGTTGTATTAATTGCACAAGGTTGTTCACTGAAAGGTGGTGAATAATTCCCTCCCTGAGCTTGCAGATGTGTGATGTCAGGCTGATCAGCGGATAGTTTTTTTTGCTGAGCTCTTTCTGCCTTTTTTTTTAAATAGGGGTAACATTTCCATATTTCCAATCTAGGGGGACTACCCCTTGGTCCAGAGATTTTGTGAAAAGTAGTTTCAGCGGTAGGCATAGTTCTTCTGCCAGTTCCTTTAAGACGTTGGATTGAATTCCATCCACACCTTGGGCTTTTGAGTATTTTTAGTTTGTCAATGTTCTTTCTAATTATTTTGCATGTTATAGGTATATCCCCAAATTCATTCTCCTCCCCTCCTTCAAACATTTATGTGGGTGATGGGATGTCAACCTTTCGAGTGTGAACACTGATGTAAAATAATCATTTAGAGTGTTTGCTGCCCGTTTATCATCCATTATAGCTTTGTTAGTCTCAACTATTAAGGGTCCAACTGAGTCCTTTGTTTTGGTTTTACCTCTTATATAGGCATGGAACGATTTTGGATCTTTCTCTATGTTTCGGGCAAGCTTTTCTTTCGTAGTTTCTTTTGGCCTATGTGATTTTCTGAGTTGCCCAGTTTAGTGCATTTTTGTATAACACATAATCAGTGATATCCAACATGGATTCATATGTTCTCCAGAGGTTCCTCTTGGTTACCAATACTCGTTTTATGACCTGTGTCATCCATATAGTTAATTTTCTTGTCTTTCTATTTGAGTACGGGTTGGCAGCCTGTGCTCCAAACAAAGAACCAAAAGTGATTCTGTGCACCCACCAAACTCCATGTTTATAAATTAAAATTGGTTTACACACGACTCACAATTGATGACGTTCGAACATTTCCAGAAGAAATGCTTCACTGACAATTTTTTTTCGAACCACAACACTGTAAAAGCTTCACCCACGTACTACAAATACAAAAAATCGCCAACAGAACCTAAACACCTAACCTAACCTTTGCCTATATATGCACACTATGCTAATGTTTTATAATATTAATTTTATATTTGAGAAAATTCCCGTTTTGAATAAACAGCAAATAAAAATTTATGAATGTGTCTGTTGGTCGACCGCTGGATGTAATGGACTTAAGTCGAGGACGGGTTACGGGTTGGAATGGGCAAAGTGATCGGGTTCACGAGTGACTGAACTACCACCTGGTGAGTGTCACACACCTCACTGTCATGATAGTTACCTAAAGACAACGAACTATTTTCTTATTACCTCAGGATCTCAAATTTTCTGATGAGCAATTTCTGTTTTTTCTTCTGAGTTTTGGATAGATCACTAAACCCCAAGTTTCCATGGCCTCATAAAGAGCTGGGCCCAGATCAGCCAAGACCTGATCTGAAGATTGAATCTCAGGGGTCTGGTGCCCCTGTAGCAGTGTTTAGCTTGGGAAGCTTTTTTAAAGTATTATGAACACTAAAAATACATTAATATTTTCCAACGAGGTATGGTAGGCGCCATAAGGTGACATAAAGGTCAGGGAAATTAACTAAAGGTGACCTCATTGATACAGACAAGATATAGCAGGTAACTGAGGTTGTCATAGACAGCAAGGTAGTTAACTTTTTTATTTATTTTTAATTCTATTAACAAGCTTAAGTGCACGTGAGAGTGCTGCTTACCTATTCTGTATGAGGGTTTACGTAGATTATATTAAGAGTTAAAATAGTTAAAATTCAAATTCAAATGTTTTATTCAGGTAAAAGTACTTACATAGAAGATGAGTTACAAATATAATGTAGGATTTATTGTTAGAGCAAGTACATACAGGCTATTAGTGGCTAGTACCTAAAGCCACTAATACGCACAACGTTTCGCGCAATGGAAGTTTAATTAGCTAGCTCATCTGATATGCTCATCTTACAGGTAGTTTAGCCATGCATGGAATCTGGGAAAATTAATCTGTGGGTTGGTACAAGAATTCTACCAACTACGCACCAATTATTTTGATGAAAGGGAGCAGGAGAACAACAGAAGTACACTTACATGAGATTTTATTCTAGTCTACAGGTCTATATATTGTGTAGAGCACGAGAAAATCTTCCAATATTCGCGAGAGAATGAAATCATTACAAAGTTCAAAGTATCTCATGCCATCTGGTATAAAGTACTTTATTATAGGGGATTGACAAATATAGTGTTGAAGAGTGTTGTAACTCGTGTTCATAGAGCTTACACTTGGAGTGTTCACTGTTTTAAGATCCATTACCTGACTTAAGTAACGCTGATCCAGCAATTACAGTGTAACATGTTCAGTGGATATGTTATGGTGTCCGTACACACAGTTCTCAGTACAGAGAAATTATTTGAAGGCGACCTTCTTGATCCAGGCAAGGTATGGCGGGTGACGGAGATTGACATAGAGGCCAGGAAAGCCCTTCAGGCCACACTCATTGCCGCTCGACACTAATCCGGCCAAGGTGAAGCGCCCATATGGGTTACGGGTCACGATGGGTCCCCCAGAATCACCCTGTGGAAGCACAACAAACATACTTAAGTTAGCAGGGGCCTTAGGTTAGCGGGAACAGCTTATATCATCGTGTAGGAAGACATTAGGTTTATGGTCCTGCATCACACCACAACATGCATGCTGGATACCCTTAATTGGTGTCGGAAATCCGACACACAAAATAACATAAGTTCATAAGTTACCCATTAAAGAAATCAGAGAACGGGTATTCCATGACGTCAACAACAAGACGTATCTTTATATTAACTCTATTTCCTTTAAAAAACAGTCTAGTGTTTAAACTTAATAAAAAAAGTGTTCACTAGGACTGAATATAATTTCCAACACCAAAAGTACAGCTTGACTCCTTTACTACTGTTAAATAAAATCCGAGGTAGAACCAGGATATTATTAGGACAGAGAGGGAGGGAGCATCACTTCACCACAGAATCATAACAAATACAAAAATACAAATACGGGATTCCCGCCCGAAGGTCGGCCATCTTGGCACGCGGATTGAACGCTCCTGGCTAGACTTTCTTTCCACACCATACCTGGAGCTCATCTTTGAATTCAGCTGGCTTCTTTGGGCCAGTGTGTGCTGTGACGGTGCACAGCACACACTTATATTTCTCCCACGCCAGCTGTAAGAGTGGGGACATGAAGGAAATCGCCAAGGTGGCATTACCTGTGTGTGCTGTGATCCCAAGACGGTGCAACGAACACCGTCTGACGGGGTGAGTGGGTGGATCTGACGGGGCTGAAGAAGAGTCATCTGACAGCCAAGGAGTCGATCACCTCTTCGTGGAACCCGGAGGACAAGTGGAGGGCGATGACAACCCGGATGGTGAGCTACAGGTGACCCTCGCCAGTTCTCTTGGAGTGGACCGCACTCGTCTGGGGGAGTTACAGCAGGTGGAGTTCCCAGATTTGATTCAGGAGGCCAAAGGAGGACGTGTTGGTCCCGAGAGGGCCACTCATTTTTATTGGCAGGACGGAATGCTGATGAGACAATGGAGGCCGGAGAAGAATCACTAGGTACGAGGCACCAGGTAGTGTTGCCGGCCCAGTGCAGAGCGGCAGTGCTGGATCTGTCGCACTCCGTGGACTCTGCAGGTCACTTGGGGGTGACCAAGACTTTGTGCAAGATCAGGGACCATTTCTACTGGCCGGGTATGGACGCAGACGTAAGGCGTCACTGCAAGACATGCTTACCTTGCCAGAGGGCAGGGAAGAGCCAACCCGCGATACCAAGGGCCCCGTTAGTCCCTGTTCCTGTATTTGGGCCAGCATTTGAGCGTCTGTTGGTCGACGGGGTAGGACCGTTGCCACGGACGAAAAAAGGAAATACCTACCTGATGACCATCATGTATGTGTCGACAAGATTTCCGGAAGCTGTCCCGATGCGGCGTCTGACGTCGAAAGGTGTAGCCGGGCAGTTGCAGCGATTTTTCTCTTGGGTGGGAATGCCCAGGGAAATCCAGACGGACTGTGGGAGTGTGTTCCAGTCCAAATGGTTTTGACAGACCGTGACAAATTGGGGGGTAACTCAGATTCGGTCGTCGCCCTACCGACCGCAGTCGCAAGGGGCGATCGAAAGGTTTCACTCAACCCTGAAAACTATTCTGAGAGTGTTCTGTGCCGAACAAGGAGCTGAGTGGGATGAGGCAGTGTACCCTGCGTGGTTCGCCATACGAAACGCTGGGGTAGAGTCGTTAGGTTTCTCACTGTTCCAGCTGGTATTTGGACATGAGGTACAGAGTCCTCTGTCCATGCTGAAAGAGCAATGGGCACCCGAAGTGACCATGGAAACGGTCAATGAATACGAAAGGAGCATCTCGCATTGGTGGCAGGAATACTGGTTGGAAATTAAGCTCATCAGAGGGAAGGACAACGTGGTAGCGGATGTCCTGTCCCGAGTACACTAAACCAATATGACTCTTATTTTAAGGGGAGGGGTAAGTGACGGTGTTCCCCCCCCCCTTATATTTCTCCAACGCCAGCTGTAAGAGAAATCCACTTTACCCGAACGTTCGCTACGCTCCGGGGAACAACTTGACATATGTGGGAGCATTAGGTGTTCTTGTGTTAGCGAGAAATTCGCAAAAGAAGTGTTTTGGTCAGTGGTTAGGCCCTTTAGGACGCCAAGATGGCGCCAGACACTACGATTTCCCGCCAAGACGTTGTGACGTCAGTGGCACAGGAGTTTGACACGACACGTCGAGGAGGTCGGATGTGACATCGGAGGTCCTGTCAGTCTGACAGTTTTGCCCCGCTCTGGTGGATTTTACGCATCATCCTGTAGTCTGCAATCACCCTGTGAGGTCTTCCTATATTCCATGTGTTGGACCGAAGAAGGAATTGACGAGTATTGAGCAGCAAGTGCTCGAGTGACTGGTGTGTTGCAAGAAGTGAAGTCTGAGCAGTGACGTCCGGGACGACTGTGCAGTTTCACCAGTTTAGGTGACGACGTAGCAGCTGAGCCAATCCACCGAGAGGCAGGAGAAGAACGAAGCTAACTGGGAATCGGAACGACTGCAGCCGAAAGAAGGGACTGCAGACGTAGTTGTGAGGAGAAGTCGTCGGCCAGGAGATCAACTCCAACCCTTCAAGAGGTTGTGGAGGAGCACGGGCCTGCAGAGGATAGAGCACGGTGAAGACGCGTTTTTTGAGGTGTTGAAGAGGTTCCTGGAGAGAGCATCAGTGTGTGTGTGTGGGGGCGTTCCCTACAACGAGTCGAGAGCCTGGACCAGGAGCTTCAATTCAACTCTCAACAGAGGGCGAGTCCGCATCATTGAGGTGGAAGTAGGTAATTCAGTTTTCCCTCCCATTCCCCTTTAGTCAGCTATTTAGCCAGAGTATCTTCTATGTCGTGAGCTGGGCTCACCAATATCTATGTCTTAGTAAGGCACAGTTGTGCAGAGAGATGCTGTAGAGAGCTCTCACGAAATATATATGTGGTGTGTGAATGCACCTGTGATTTATCTAAGAGTTTGCTGTGTCAAGGACATTTATACTCATGTGACATTAATATTATAATTTTGTGTCAGAGAATATATATATATATAAATGTACCATTTATTAGTATAAGGCTGTGTGCCCCGTATTGACTCATTATTGCTAATATTGATGAAGTGATCTATATATATGATGGAGTATTGAATAGTATATTCATGTGTACAGTGATTTTCTGTGTTTATGGCCATTGAAGTAATTTACTGTGTTTGGAGGCCATTATTGTGATCTACTGTGTTAATGCCATTACAGTGAGTTACTGTGTTTACAGCCATTGAAGTAATTTTACTGTGCTTATGGCCAGTACAGTGATTCATTGCATTTATCGCCATTATAGCAATTTAATGTGATGTTGGCCAGTATTGTGTTTACTGTGAATTTGAAGAAATAGGCGCTTACGCCAGGACAACAAGTACAGAGAGAATATACAGTGAGGGGGCGTGGCAGCTGGGAATGTACGATTGAGGGGGAGTGTTGCCATTGTATAGTGTTCCAGATTATGAAGAGGGAGTGATCTGCTGCCATGTACTTCGTTGCCTTGTTGTTGATCCAGTGCTATAATACTTTAATATTTTAAGTAAAATACAAAATCACCTTCGCGTTTGTGTTATCCTTCCATTACTTGCTGCTATTGAGATTATTGGGACCAAATAAAGAGAGTCATTGAGACATATACCTGCCTCATACCGGATTCAATAAGTGTGCTCTCTGCCACTATTACCACAATACCACTGACGTGTTACTGGACACGGAGAACACCAGTTGGCGACCTTTCAGTTAGCAGTAGAGCCCTTTGTCGGGGCGGGCACACGATCAAGAGAGTAGATTGTGTTCCCACTCGCCTTCAGGTTATAAGGCCGGCCGGAGGTAGACTGGGATACTCTCCAGGTGAACAGTGGCACCTCGAGGATGGAGTGAAGACCCGCAGAGCTACAGTAAGTAACAGTTACCACTACTACTACTTGGTGGTGACTGGTGAGATTTAGAGTAACCCCGACATTGGCGATCTTGCCAGGATATTAAGTACGGTTACTTACTGACGAAACCCCGACAGTGCTCACTGCAGCTACCCAAAAAGTTGTGCCTAATCCTTGAGACTCAAAATGCGATCATCCTGAGTCTTCAAACTGAGAATCGAGCGAACGTCGCGAGCCTTCATCAACAACAATTCCATCTCCCAGGATGAACAGGACCAGCAAAAGCTGCTAGACTCTGTTATTGTGTCGTCCCAAGATATTCCTGTGGAACGTGAAGGTGAAAAGTGTATTGAAATAGTTCATTCTCTCATAAAAGACGAATTGAGTGTCACCCTAAATAAAACAGACATTATTGCTGCCTACAGAGTAGGCAAAAAGAATCCATCAGGTCTAAACCAGCGAAAAATTCTCCTCAAACTAGCTTCCCAGTCCACAAAATCGCATCTTGTCCGGACAGCTGCATCCCAACGAAAGGGAATCTACATCAACAAGTGCTTGACTAGGAAAAGACTGCATCTCCACCGCCTGCGTCAAATCCGTAAACAAAACCCAGCTGCGATTCATCAGTGCTTCGTTAGAGATGGCGTGATTAAAGTGAGAAAGACCTCAGAAGGAAAAATGTTTACAATTGCTAATGAGGATAACCTCAACACTTTCCTCTCCCAATGTGGTTTGTCCCACCTTAGTATCCCTCTCATTGAGTCAACATAATTAACCCCCCTTGTCACCTAGTGCGGGCTAGGTATCCAAAGTCTCTTTGTTACACTTTTTTAAAGTAAATTATAATTTAATTTATATTAGTCAGTTATTGGACTTAATTAATTGAGTGCATTAATATTTTCTGTAGTTCTTATTAATTATAGGATCATAACTAAACTATTTATAGTTAATAATCATTAGATTAAACTTGCCTATGTTTATTATTCAACTTTTTTCTTTGCTTTCATTTATTATCTAGGTTGCCTAGCCTCGCCATACTCCCTTACTCCATTGTACCCCTGGCTTTGCCTGTGTCTCAAAATGCAAATT